TGGAAGGGGGCTCCCACAGGGCTGTCTCATTAGCACCGTCCTCCAGGTCTATCGTGTACGGCCTCGCGTGCTGTCCTGCATTTTAAGGCTGAGCTATACTCCATGTGTGGGCCATGTTTTCCTAACCCTTTCGTCCAGAGCTGGACACTCAGCTGCTTCTGCTCCTCAGCTCTTGTGAGGGTGCTGCAGAAGTCTCCTTTAGGGATTCAATGACCCTCGAACAGACGGGTTTGATCTTCACAGGTGCAACTTACCTGTGGTTTTTTACGGTAAGTATACAGTTGGCCCTTTGTATCCCTGGGTGTCACATCCACAATTTGACCGACCACCAACTGAAAACAGGAGTTTTGCTCTGAGGTTGGGGATCCATATATGTGGAGGGCAGACAAGTATTTGTGGATTTTCGACTGCGCTGGGGTTGGCTCCCCTAGCCCCCTTTTCTATGTACCTGGAAGTGGGATTGCTGGGTCATGCGTGTTTGAGGAACCTCCATCCTGTTTCCACAGCAGCTGCACCATTCACATTCCCGCCACAGTGTGCAGGTGCCAGTGTCTCCGCATCCTGCTGGCACTTGGTTCTAGTCTGGGTGGTGGCCATCCTAGTCGGTGGGAGCTGGTGTTTCTCCGTGGTGTTGATGCTGCTCCCTGAGCACCTTCAGTCCGTGTCACCTGGGAACGTAGTAATGTCTGCGGAAGATCTTTGCCCGTTCTTTAGGCAGATTACTTGGGGGTTTTGTTGAGTTTTAGGAATTCTTTGTGTGTTCTGGACATGAACTCGTGCATGGTGTGTGGTTTGCACACACTTCTCTGTTCCTGGGCTGCCTTTCCTGTTGACAGTTCCCTTTGTTTCACAGTTTAAGTATGATACCGCCCGCTGGTCTTTTGATTTTGTTGACTGTGCTTTTAGGGATATATTTTTATTTACTTTTATTTGAATTCCTCCAGTTTATTACATTTCTAGTCATGTTACCCATTTATTTAGACAATATTTTTTTTTCCCTTTAACTACATTTTTTTAGTCTGACTGTATCTTTTATTAGTTTCTTTCTTCGCCGCTGTTTATTGTACCTCCCGTTACCTTACCTCGTGGACTGTATATTTTTGTTTGGCTGAGGACTTTTGCTGAGTCCCTTTCCTCCCAGAAAGTTTGTGGGCACTAAATGTGGAGGCCCTGAGCAACTGAGATGACCCACATTCCCTCCTTCTTCAGTGATAGTTTGGTGTGGTTTAGAATCTTCAGCATTTCTGAAATTCCATTCCTTCTTTTGGCAAAAGCCCTTTGGGAAAGAGGAGGCAGGGAAGGAGCTGTTGGTTACCAAACAGCAGGGTGGGTTTGGGAAGGGCTGGAGCCAGCAGGAAGGGCTGGGTGCCCTGGGCGGAAGGCTGAGGAGCAGCTGGCTGGAAAGGCTGCCACGTGGCTCAGCACCACACACTCTGAGTACACGGAAGTGAACTCTAGGAGCTCCTGCTGGGGGCTGGGCTAGTCACACCCCTGACCTTGGACATACCCAAGGTCCTGGGCTCTAGCCTGACTGGTGGAGAGGGTGGGGTGGCCAAAGGCAAGGCCTGAAAGCTCAGCTCTGGGGAGCGTGCAGCAGGCTCAAACCCTAAGGGCCAAGTGCAGGTGAGTCCTTGTGTGGGGGGGATGGGGGCAGGAAGTACAGGTCAGGGCCACTTGGAGGTGAGATGAGTGGGGGTGTAGGGGCTGGCAGGGCCCCAGAGGCAGTACTGAGGTGATGGAGTGTTTGCAGCTGTAGGAGTGTGGCTGTGCCAGGGTGGGCCAGTGCAGTGTCTGCCCTGTGGACACTGGTCCCTCATGCCTACCCACGATTCTGTGCAGCATCGGCTACCTGCACCCCAGACAGGTACCAGGTCCTGAGTTGGTTTCTTTCATCAAAAGATTAAGTTCTGACTATAATCTTACAATATAAATTGTTGGGACTGGGTACTGATGATGGACTGAAGATGAAATTATAGCATCGCCTGCTTCCTTTGGATAAAAGTTAGAAACAGACATCCATGCCCAGGCTATGAAGCTGGCCTTGGCATCTCCCCTGTGCTTTGTCGGCTCTGGGGCTTGGGGATGGTGTGCTTTAAAAATTTACTTTTTAGCCTCACCCAAGGGTATGTTTTATTGATTTTAGAGAGAGGAAGGGGGAGAGACATCGATGTGAGAGAAAAGCATCAACTGGTTGCCTCCCATATGCATCCCGACTGGGGATTGACCTGCAGCCTTTTGGTGTATAGGATGATGCTCCAGCCAACTGAGCCCCCCCCCCCAACGGCGGGATGGTTTGCATTTTTCTGTTGGTCTCTTTGTACAGGAACATTTGTGAGCCTCTGCTCGTGCCATCTTCCATGGGGCTCAGCCAGGTTTTATAGAACCTGGACCCTAAGGAAGTGCTGTGAAGGAGGCCACACGTCCCACGTGGGACTGTGGGTCTTAGCCCTCTCTCCCGTTTCCCCTCTCCAGGTGCCCTATGAAACACTGAACAAACGCTTTCGAGCTGCTCAGAAAAACATCGACCGTGAGACAAGCCACGTCACCATGGTGGTGGCCGAACTAGAGAAGACCCTGAGCAGCTGCCCTGCTGTGGACTCTGTGGTCAGCCTTCTGGATGGCGTGGTGGAGAAGCTCAGCGTCCTCAAGAGGAAGGTCGGTGCTGGTTCCGGGCCTGCCTGCCCAGGTTGTCCTGAGAAAGGGCTGTCTCCTGTGGGAGCTGGGACGCAACTGGGCCATGTTGTCCTGAGAGGGACTGGTCACGACCGGATGTGGGAGGGCTGTGCTGACAGGTGGCCCCTCCATGCTTCCTGCACTCCGGAGCCTCAGCACAGCCTCCAGTCCTGTTCTTCCTCCTGTGGGCCTTGCCATCCTGGCTCCAAAGTGTCCCAGGCCCACACGGGCAGGCTGGATGGGGAGGGGGTTGGTATATTATATTTAGAATTTCACCTCAAAACAGCACATAGGGTTTTTTGTTTCTGGGAATGGTAGATGGCGCATTTGCACAAATATGCCCACTGAGAACAACCCCAAAATTGTGATATTTTAAAATACCTTGCTGAATGTATCAAAGAACTCCTGAGAAGAAAGGAATCACCAGGAAGGCAGGGGTCAGAAAGGAGCAGGGGAGGAGGGCGTACTGGCCACTCCATGCACCGAGGAGCCCCTCTAGGGCCTGGTGTGCCAATGACCTGGGCCCGGATGCTGCGGCCCTGCAGCTCTGCCCCTCTGATGAGGGTGCCCCAGGAGTGGATGCCCCAACAAAGCATTGCAGCCCTTCAACCTGGTGCAGTGGTCCCAGCAGGGCAGCCTCTGGGGCCAGGCAGAATAAATGCAGTTCTGCAGTGTGCGGCCCATCACGTGGTGTAGTTACCAGCTACAGGGAAGGTGACTAGACACAGAAGAAGCAGTGTAAGGGACTCAGACACAGAAGTGGTCAGAGACTGTAGTTCACTGTGCTTAACGAGTCAATAACAGCTTGAAAGTTTCTGCAGAAGACAAAATATAAAAAGTGATTTAGTTTAAAAAGAACCAAAAAACACAGCAACTGGAACGAAAAACTGTGCTTGCTTGTAACAGACACTTTAACAGCCTCAGACAGGTATGTGAGAGTCAGTGAGCCAGGGTGAGCACAGGGCAGGGTGCAGGGGGTGTCCAGAGGGAGAGCCCTGGCAGGAGCTCTGCCCTGTCTGCCTGTTTGTCTGGGCCTGGGTGGGCACAGAGACCCAGGCCTGGGCCAGGGCCAATCCACACCCTAAACAGGGCAAACAAAACAGAAAGGCAAGGAGATGCACCTTAAAGTCAGTGAGAGAGAAGGGCCGCTTGTCAGGAGCAGCAGATATCCCACGGCCAGCCCACTGCCCAGCAGCCGGCAGCCCGAAAGTGGTGCGGCCAGAGCGCAGGGCCTGCCGTCCTGCGGGGCAGCGCCCGCTTCAGCGCGCTGCTGGCCGCAGGCGGGACCCGCGGTGTGGGACGCTGCGGAACAGCTGAATTAGTTTTGAACAAAGCTGACTTTAAGGGAAAAAGCATCGTAAAAGAGCAGCTCAGGGTGTAACGATGCAGGATAACTGCGAAGCTGTACCAGATTAAAAATGCACGAACGTGGCAGCAGCTGCGGAAGGGCTCAGCCGTAGCCAGTGCGGACCGAGGCGCGGGTCCAGACTGGCCGCACCGCGCCG